AGCATCTGGAGTTATAGATGGATTACAGATCACACATATTACACCATGATTAAGTGAATCACAAATTTATAATTGCAAGGTTAAATAGCTGTGAAGCTAAACAAAATGATCCTGAATTAACCTTTCTTTATATATCTCTGCTGGGATATTTTACCAGCACTTTGTACCAGACGCTGCACGAAGAGCTGTTTTCCCGGCAACAGTGAAGGAGCAATTTGCGTTTGAATTTAATTGAAAATCACCAGCTTAATCCTCAGCGACAGTGCAGCATGCGAGGACTGTTTCTTGTTTCCTATTACCAGACGGAGTTGACACTGAGGGAAGGCAGGAGTTGCAGGAAGTCAGCCCTCATGGAGAACAATAATTTGCCAGGGAATTTTTTTTTTGTGCCGTATTCAGAGCCTGACGTTGGCGTACCATGTTTGTTAATGTCATGGTTGTACAAGGGACACAGTGTACGAAGGTGGTTCTACGAAGGTGGAAAAACAGGCTCAACTTACGCATGAATGTTGATCAAACGAATCAAGTTTGATCATTCCTGGACTTTATGGATCAATGGGTCGTTGCTCAGAGTGGATCCATCTTATCAACAAGTGATTAACAGATCAAGGAAAACGAATAGAAACACTCAGGGTCATTGAAAGATTTCGGGTAGTGATGTAAATGCAAGCGTGATGCACGGTGCGCAAAGGTTGGTTCGCGTGCTATGAATAGCCAAATGTAGTGAGCTCGGGGTGGAACAATAACCACATCCGTTCTATATATCAATGACAACTGCACGCACACAATAGATAAAAGTAAAATAATACAAATAATTAAATCAATTAATAAGAAATTTTGCACAACTACCCAGTACACACAAAGTTAAATAAATGTCTCTCATTCTATCAGCACTTAATTGTCATTCCTCTAAACTTACTTTCATCCCTACTGGCTTTCCTATTCCTAAACGTGCCTCAGCTGGTCGTTTGTCCTCTTTTTAAACAGAAACTTGGTCGTGTTTCTGCCATTTTTTTGCGGTTGTTTCAATGGAATGGGGTTTAAATGAAATTCTTCTCTTCTTCTTTCTTCTTTTTTAGTGTCTTAGATATGTCTAGTTGTCATCCCTGATCTACTTTCTTTCTTCTTCTTCTTTTCTTTTCTTTATATTATTTCTATTAGTTCGTTTCTTTATAGGAATATTTTTGTGTGTCTTAAAATGTAGTCCTTCTTTTATTGGTGGGAGGGTCAGCACCTGTGTTAATATGTCAATGAGGATTATTTATTTTTGTGCTTTTTTAATTAAAGCTTCCATCAGGTCTGTTCTGTAAGATTAAAATCTTGGACATTTGAAGATTATATGTTGTATTTTTTCTTCTTTTATAGTTTAAGGACTATTTCCTAGTCTATAAGCCCCTAGACTATTTCTTTCTTCTTTCTTCTTTCTTTAAGCACCGAAATTCAAATGCTTTTTTTTTTTTGGGGGGGGACATTACAGCTGAGGCTTCTCCGTAAACAGTGAATACCGGGATGCTTTTGTGCACGACGAGATTATGGTGACCTCGGAGGTAAACAGAGACCCAAACGTGCTTTGTGTTTTTAATTTTGTGTTTAAAGACATTTACATTATCCGAAGTAAAATATTACTCTGAAATTAAAATAACTTAAGAAGAAAAAAGAAGAAGATGATGAAAAAAAAACAATAAAGCAAGAGAGAAATTAGTGAAATACATTTGTAAATCTGACATCCTTTTATTAAAACAAGATCAGTAATATAACTAAAAGTGGCATGAGTGTATTATATATATATATATATATTATATATATAGATAATATATATAATTTATATATATATATATTATACATACACATACATATAACATATATTATATAATTAATGTATACATTATATACACATATATATATAATATGATACATTTTTTCAACAGCCATTCATTCCACTCAGGACATAGGCCTCTCACCATTCAGTATTGAGAGGTTAATGCAGTGCACCCTTCCTGATTGAATCCCTTCCTAAACAACCGCCGGTTTCGGCGCGTGAACACTTGTGCCACGGCGGTGACTCCCCTACGACTCCTGCGTTTGACTTCTCATGGCGATATGTCGTTTTCCTCTGGCTCGAGTAGAATCAGAGCGCAGGCTTTTTACGACCGCCGCTAGACGGGAATTGAACCCGGGACCACGAGGTTGGAGTCCAGTGCTCTATCCACTGAGCTATCGCGCAGTCCATAATATATATATGTTGAGTGTGGTGTGTGTGTGTGTGTGTGTGTGTGTGGTGTGTGTGTGTGTTGTGGGTGTGGTGTGTGTGTGGTGTGGTGTGTTTGTAGTGTGTGTGTGTGTATTTTGTCCCTGGGTAAGACTTAAACTACACCCTGGGTCTGCCCTTTGGAAAGGCATAGTACCCATTTCCACACCTTGATTGGGCTAAAACCAAAAACTTGTTTTGCAAACAGGCAGTGGATGCATGTGTGTATATATAATAAAGTCCAGGATTAGCGGTAATCTCCGGACCTTTGGTCCCCAAGGTCAATTCCCCGTCGCGTCAGTCGTAAAAATGCCTGCGCTCATGACGCTGCTCCGCCTGTGACAACGACATATCGCCTTGAGAACTCTAAAGCAGGAGTCATAGGTGAAGTCTCCCCGTGCATGTTTACAAAGCCCGGAGAATGCGGTGGGTCAGCGGCAGGATGGAGATCTGGCTGTAAAAACAAGCCCAAGACCTAGATACGGATCATTCACGTGACGACGTTTGATGGAAAAGCCGAAAGAACGTCGACCCTGCCTTAAAGACAGGAGAAAATAGAGTAAAAAAGAAGAAGAAAAGAAAACCATTGTTGCCAACCCCACATTGTGATGACGAATTATATGCAGCGTTCATGACAAAACTTGAACCTTAATTCCTGGCATCAATTTCTTCATTTATGTTTTCACATTTTTGGCTCTTAGAGGTGCGATCAATCTTACAGATACGACTCTTGGCCTACGGAATATGACTTTCGTGGAACCTTATTTTTTAGTCCCATTTCGTCGTCATCGGACCCTTTGTTTTGGTTGTTTTCTTGATGCCAAACCCGACCGGCCCGGCGGCGGGACACGGTGGATTCAGGGGGGCACTGGGGCTTGTAGAAGGTGCAGGGCTTTAGGGAGCTTTAGGTGGCTTGAGAGGGCTTTGGGTGGCTGAGAGGGGCTTTGGTGGGTCTGAGAGGGGCTTTGGGTGGGCTGAGAGGGCTTTGGGTGGCTGAGAGGGGGGTTTGGAAGGCTGATAGGAGCTTTGGGAAGGCTGATAGGAGCTTTGGGAAGGCTGATAGGAGCTTGGGCAGGCTGATAGGAGCTTTGGAAGGCTGATAGGAGCTTTGGGAAGGCTGATAGAGCTTTAGGGAAGGCTGATAGAGCTTTGGGAAGGCTGATAGGGCTTTGGGAGGCTGAAAAGGCTTTGGGAAGGCCGATAGGACTTTTGGGAAGGCTGATAGGAGCTGTTTTCGGAAGGCTGATAGGAGCTTTCGGAAGGCTGATAGGGGCTTGAAGGCTGATAGGGGCTTTTGGAAGGCTGAAGAGGGGCTTTGGTGGGCTGAGAGGGGCTTTGGGAGGGCTGAGAGGGGCTTTGGGAGGGCTGAGAAGGGGCTTATGGGTGGGCTGAGAGGGGCTTGGGAGGGCTGAGAGGGGCATTGGGAGGGCTGAGAGGGGCCATGGAGGGCTGAGGAGGGCTATGGGTTGGAGGGCTTGAGAGGGGCTTTGGATGGGCTGAGAGGGGCATTGGAGGAGCTAGAGGGGCTTTGGGAGGGCTGAGAGGGGCGTTGGATGGCTGAAAGGGCTTTGAATGGCTGCGAGGGGCTTTGGAGGGCCTGAGAGGGGCTTGGGGGGCTGAGAGGGGCTTTTTGGGGTGGCTGGAGAGGGGCTATTTGGGAGGGCGATAGTGTGGACTTTTGGGAGGAGACAGAGGGGATGCAGGTAGAGTTGTAGTGGAAGTGACCAGAGGCTTCTGTACTTATTTTCAAAATTATGTGTCTAGATAAATGATATAAATAAACGATACCGAGTTAAGTCCCCCAAATTACAATGAAGAGGTTCACAAAGAAAAATATCACCAATATTCTAATTTTTTTCTCAACAGGGTGATTTCACTACTTTTTCCGTGTTTGTAGGTTTATATCTCTATCGGCCATCGGTTATATTAGGCAATACAAACATTTCCAGAAGAAATCGGGCCTGTGATAAGACCTCTGCCCCGTTAAAAAAAAATCCGGTGAGCACGTCCATAAGCCCTTCTGGGTACTTTACAATCCGGAAAGATATTGTTGCATTATTATTGTGTATTCCATGCGTTTCTCCCATTGAGGGCCCAGTTGTAAGAGAGTTCTGGTTTGGGAAAAGCTTCTCTAAAACCTCCAGACGGGCAAACCAAGTAGACGAGTTAGTTTTCTCCATGCATCTTGCGAAGGGTTAGGTATTAAGAACGTTGACATGAAAACTCCTAGAAGAATTTCTATATGTATTCATCTATATAGCTGAGTTGATACATGCCCGCGTCATTGGGCACTTTTGGTGGTGATTAAAGACGGTGATGAGGTCATCCTTTTGGCAAGATGGATAGTCTTTTGTCCGTAGACAAAATCTGGTCTTTAACAGGGCAAGAAATCCGACAGGATATCTCATTCTAATATACGGAATACTTGATTAGAGAAAGAAATCTCGCTAGAACTGCCAATGGGTTACTCTAAAACTCTATTTGTCTTTCGCTTATTCCAGTCTTATTTTGTTTACTATATTCCCCTAGTTAGTAGTCTTGGAGTTAAGGATCAAGAGTACCATCTTGATAGTATAGGAACCAAGTACAATCCTACTGCCTCTAATGTGGTTTAATTAACAAAAGTATTCTCCCTCTTGCTCCCCGGCTTGTCGGTAACTGAGAACCCCTCCTCATCCTCAATGGAGGGGTGTTAGATATTACTGTGCAAAGAACTCTCTTCATGTGCTTTTGCAGTGCTTTTTGAATTACA